TCGATATTTGCTCCATAAACAAAGAACATTTTCATACAACGTCGAGCCGGTCCGGGAGGGGAGTCGGGTGGCTGAGAGTAAGCAACTAACACACATCCGGTTCGAAATCAAACTGAACAAGAATTTAAATTCGATATCTTGCAGAATCCCAGTTTCAATTCAAAGTTCGACGAAAAACTTTTTATTTCGAAACAGTTACAGTTAAGCATTCCTCCCAATCTGGATTCGATATTTGGTAGAATCACAATTCGAATTCGAACTCTGCACAAAACTTTTATTTTTTCCAAACTTTTACAGTAAAGTATTCATCTCAATTCGAGTTCGATTTCTGGTAGAATCCCAGTTCGAATCCGAACATGAAGGAAAATTTTTTTTTCTAAACCTTTACAGTAAAGTGTAGATCACAATTCGAATTCGAACATGAAGAAACTATGATGTATCCGAATTCGAACTTGAAGGAAAATTTTTTTTTCTAAACTTTTACAGTAAAGTGTATACCACAATTCGCAAAATCGTAGTTATATTCGAACTCGAATTAGTCAGTTACTCAAGATGCCGCCCAAAAAGTATGAATACGGCTCTCTAAATCGCCTTATTGTCACTCATTCTCAAGATCAACCTTTTATACGGAGCTCTTTCTTACGGTTAGACTCGATTTATTTAAAAAGCAGAGTACATCCTTCCTAAAATACTGACAGACGTCATAGAACGATATTTTTAATTATTTGTTATGATGATTGCAGTTTTTCAATTAATTTTCTCGCTTCTCGTTGTCCACTTTCAAATGCACTGTCTACACATCCGATTGATCCCGTAAAATTCGTATGTTCACCTACCCAGTAGACTCGATCTGAATAGCATTCTCTTGCCAAATCTTCAACTGTTTTCGCATTCGCATTAACAGCGAAATTCGAATATGATCCATACGCATACCGATCTTTATACCATCGTGAAATGAGAAAATGTGTTGGATCTGGAACAAGATGTTTTCGTTGTCGATGTTCAGAAAATATTGTTCGAATAAATTTCATAACAGTTATCAGTGTTTATTCGTCCGTTAGTGTTTCCATTTTGTAGGCAAAATCGCCGGTAAGAAATATAATTAGAATATTTGCATGTGGTTCAGTTATAATAAAACGAAACTGTCCTCGATGAACATTGCTAGCATGATGTATTGCTGTAACGTTTTGTCCCCAAAATTTTTTCGGAAATTGTAATACAATTTTGTTCATTAAACCGAACCCCATTTGACTGATCGCCAATGTTTTCCATTCGGGCAGTTCTGGTACAAATTTAATTGTTTGATGTTTCAAACAGCCCAGCGGTACTGTTACTAAAACGTATTTACAGGTGTACACTTTATCATCCGACATTAGAATTTGAATTTTATGTGAGTCTGTTGTGTCAATACAAGTAACTGTTTGATTCAATCGTATTGGTAATTGATGTAAAACAGTAGCAATTTGTGTAAGAAATGTTCCATAACCATTTTCAAATTCCATCTCACAGTTGTTCCCCGCGCCATCGCCAAGATCATAATTGATTGCAGACAAACGGGAGAAATTCGATCCTTCATACTGTTCAAGACCCGATAAGATAATGTCGACGGCACGTTTCAATTGTCCATCTAATGAAAATGATTGATAGACTTCTTGTATGACATCTTCGATCGATTTATCTTCTGGAACTTCTTTTTGTCGTTGTTTTAAGGCGTACTTGTGTAGTATTTCAATTAACGATCCAGCAATTGTATGTGCTTGACGATAAACACTCCCCGATAAAGGTTTACCGTCAAAATCCAACACTAATATGAGAGAGGGACGTCGAGGAGGGTTACCTTCCTTTCTTTCTTCCTGTACGGTGTGCAGTTTACGATGGTATTTGTACAATAGATTTGATGGAGAATAGTGATGAATCCAGGTCGCCCCAAGATCGACGGGAACATTCAACGTTTTCTGGTCTGTATAACATCGACCTCCAACCCGATCACGCGATTCAATAATGATAAATGAGGGTGTTGACGATGACGATCGCAACAAATCAATTCCTGTTGCAATTCCTGCAGCACCGGCTCCAAGGATGATGACATCGAAGTGTTCAGCTTCACACATGTTAACTTGGTATTATTAGTTCAATTTTTTGTGTTAATCTAAATAGTCTGGTGTTAACCATCTAGCAGAGAAATTGCGAAAGGCTCTTTCGAATAAATTTCTTTGTTTTCTGTGCTTATAGAGTGACTCAGTTCCTATTCAGAAATAAACAGAATGGAACCGAAAAAAAATGTAAAATATTCTTTTCTTTCCACGTTGTAAAACTGCAGCTTATGACGTCTACTTCACAGAAAAAAATGCCAACAAAGAACATTACATAACAGGTCAAGGACATGTGTGGATGAAGCATAGTTATGAAATTCTATATTGTTCAAGAACATAGATCTTACCAAATGCGAAGGAGTCATTGTATAGTGTTGTGTCCATCACCTAAAAGAATATTTCAAAGGGAAATTGTCTTTGAAAATTATTCGTGTGGTTAAGCATAAAGGAGCTCCTGACTGATAAGCAGCACTGATTAAGTCTGGATACTATCAATACACTAAAAATAGAGAATTCCTTGATGTAATAACTGATGGATGTCAGAACAGTCACTCTTCGAACAGAGAAAAACACTTGACAGAATGAGTGGCGTTGAACTTTTAGTGTTATTATTGCAACGACCTGCTGATATGTTAACCGTAGTGTTCGAACCAGTCAATTCTTGTCAAATTTTGTGAAAAAATTGATTTCCTATCAAACAAGTTAAAAACCGAAAATTCTGAAAAAACGGACGAACAATTCAAATTTGAATTCTACGTGAATTTGTTGTGTCAGTACAAGTAACTGTTTGATTCAATTGTATTGGTAACGGATGTAAAACAGTAGCAATTCGTGTACGAAATGTTCCATAACCACTTTCCTTTCCAATTTCATATCACTATAGTACCTAACATAGTAAAAATAGGATTTTCACAGCAGCTTTATATAAACTCATTTGAATATTTATTTATTTCGACGTTTCGAAAATTTATGTTTTCATTTTCAAGGAGTGTACAACTAGAATAATATGAATGCACAACAAAATGATTTTTCATTGCTATATATATGAAACAGATAAAACGTAAAGAAGAAGGAGCAAGGAGAAACACGACATGCTTTGCTTTTTCTTTCAGTTTCGAAAAAGAAAATTCGTCTTCTTTCTGTTTATCGTCTAACGATCATACGATAGGCCTCTAGCATTCGAATAGAGATATGAGTGAATTGCAAGCCATTTGTACCGTTTAGGTCACCTTTTTTTAAAAAAAATGAAAGTTTAAAAGAAAAACTTTTGAAGAGTGAAATTAAGATAT